GTTGTCGCAACTTGGTCTTGTTGTCAAGGCGACTTAGTAGAACGCACCTAGTCCGAAGTCGTCTGCCATATCGGTTGTCATGATTCCCAGCATCAGACAGTGGAATTGGTACATTGTCAAACGACAAATCTCTTTGACGAGTTCGTAGCTTGGTGCGGTGAATGGCAAAACTCACTTATGCTGCCGGCGAAACGTTTGAGAATGTATCAAGTCCATTGTCAGATGCCGGGATCATGACAACTGATATTGTAGATGACTCCGGACTAAGTGCGTTCTACCAAGTCACCCTGACAACAAGACCAAGTTACGACAACGATGTCAACGCACTTTTATGAATGGGAATGTTTTTCTCTTTATTTTTCATCATATTTAGATAGTGGATAGAGAAAAATGGTAAATATGTCTTTCTATCGGTTTATTTGACCAAATCGTCTGACCTTGATGTATAGGATAGGATGTCAGTTTAAGCAGAGTGTACTCTTGCGAAAAAGACTTCATTCAATAAGTTCTTGGTCTTCAACCAATTCTGGGTAAGTGTAGCAGGGGTTGATCTCCTCGGAAATACGGCCCAACTACATCTCGATTCTGCTGATGCGGAAGGAATACAGCCAAGACTGGCCAGATTTATAATGCAAATACACCCTTCTAAGCATGTCTTGTCTGTGCTGCATGAATTGATCATACAAATTGACAGAAAGTCGTAACTGTACAAAATGAGCCCAACGATAAATGTAGAAATTATGATAACATTTTTTTCCGCTGCGCAAGCTGTAATGCTTTCAGAGTGCAAGTTTGACACTTTTGCCAAAGTTGGACTCTGCAAGAAAGCCGCAGGTCACTTTAAACAGACTAAATAGTAGTATTTAAGTAATGCATACCAAATGGCGCACAATAAATTATAACATCAATAATTATAGTTTATTAATGTAAATATTAATAGAACGAACAACAATGATAATAACATAAACATTGCGGAAGCTAAATGATAAGTCAATGCATGCAATATTATTAATATAAAAAATAACAAAAAATAATAATAATAAAGGAATTGAAGCCAGATCTGCCCCACATGACATAAGAAGGAGCTTGAAGCGGACTGCCCAATTTGGAATCTCTTGGTCCACACTTATAAGCTCATATCCATTTATTGTGTGGAATGAAGAGATCCGATGGTCGACCGGAGTGAGCTGTAGTTTCGCCCCCACAGCGGGACTCGAACCCGAGTCGTGGTGGTGCAGCGTAAAGCCTCGACACGTCGACCAATACGCCACTGCCGAGTGTGCCCTCAGGTGGCAGTATGGACGTAAATTTCAACAAAGTCCAGACCTTCTTTCCTTATATCACTTTTTGATGGGATTGTGGATAAGAAAAAATTGTATTTACCTCTATCTAAATACATGTACATCCTAAACTGTGCATTTTTTGAGGTATAGAGTGATTTGGTTAATTCAAGTCATGTATCAATCTAGAAGCTCGTGA